GGTATGACGATACTGTGTGTTAAGAGAGGTGTTCTGTGCTGTTTCTCTTGCAGAGGGGTATTGTCACATTGGTGCTGAAATGTCTCCTTCAGACAGGCAGTTGGTAAGCAGTTTTGAAATCTACCTGGGTGCCTTTTCTTTGTAAAGAAGACAAAAGAATCAGACCCAAGAGGGCTTTAAGTTTTGCGTTTCGTTAGTAAGAAGGTTTCTGCTGGCTGCCCGAGCTAAAAGCTTGAGTTCTCTGCGGCTACAATGGAGTCTTAGACAGAGAGGCTTCCTCTTAAAAAGCAAAAGACGCTGATTGTTTCAGTCTTTATTTCATTCTTCTGAATTGGAGAGAGACAGTTCATGACAATTGTAACTATTTGCGGAACTGCTTTGCCAAAGGGTGTATTTATGGGATGCTACCTTTATTGGAACAATTAGTGGTTAAATTACACATTATCTTGTTAAGTATTTCAATAGAGTTATGCCAATTCTTCTTTTTGTTGTATTTCAACTGTGTTGTAAGGATAAAATGTGTTTTGACTCATACTTAGTTACAGACAAATCAAATCATATCTAGAAAACAGCACCTTACATTTGATTTTTAAAAAGTACAAAAGGTAGGGCTTAGGCCATTTCTGTAACATACTTTGGGGGATCTCTGGTCTGGTCTTTAACATTAATGTGAACCTTCTTGGATAAATGATACAGGTCATTGCTATTCATGGAGATGCAATACGGGTGCAATCAAATAGATGAGAGTGAAAACAAAATCACTGCTACACAGCTGTAAAATAAAGGTGTGTTGAATCATGTTAAAGAAACAGCTGGGGTGAGGAAAGGGACAATGCCAGAAAACAACCGACAATCATCATTACAGAAGTTTTATGACTTTGATAAGGGCAATTTTAGTGCTGTGGCAGGTGTAGAAGTCACGTCCAAGGTATTCAAGGAGGGAGTTATTGGAAAGAAGGGTAGAAGTTTGATAAACAAAGAATTGGATGGGACTTTGACCGGGCGTTTTAAAGTAAGTGATCAGTTGGACTTGAGTACTGACGACTGAGATGTGACTTAATTGAGCTTTCATGAAAGTTTTGAGGATTAGATACAGAAAAGCTATTTCCTCTTATACAGGAATCCAAAAGTAGGCAGAATTACTCCAGAATTCAAGGTAGGTTGCTCAGGAGTGGTAGCAGAAAGCACTTTCACACAGAAATAAGCATGAAAATTTGAATCCTGTCAGTATTTAACCTGTCAAGCCCCTGTCAATCCACAGGACTCGAGGTGTGTTCTCACCCGCACCTTATATAGTTGCAGTCAGACTTCTCTCCTGTAATACTCCAACTCCCTTGAAATGCGAGTCAACATTCCATGAGCTTTCCTGATTACCTGCTGCAGCTGTGTGCTAGCTTTCAGTGTTTGTGTACAAGTACCACCAAAGTCTCCCCTTGTGTTGCAGCTTTATTCAGGCTTTCTCCATTTAAACTATACTCTGCTCATGTTTGTTTTTCTTACAAAATGAACAATTTCACATTTTCCCACATTATCCTCCATTTGCCAACATTTTGCCCATTTTCTTAACCTATCAATGTCTCTCTGTAAACTGTATCCCTCTGGCAGCTTGCCTTTCCACCTAGTTAACTGCAAATTTTGCTCCAGTACATTCGTTTTCTTTCTCCATGTCATGACTATATACTGATGTGATATCCCTCACTAACGTCCTCCGCTCTCTTCCTTCGAACCAAACTCTGCACTAATTTCTATTTTCCTGCTGCAGTTTCCTAATTTGTCTGATCTCATCTCAAGAAGGACCTGTCTGTTTTTTGTTGGAATTGTAGACATGTTGTTGGAATGTTGCCGGGCAGGACCCAACCCTCTCTCTGTTGACATGGTGCTCCATGACAGGAGCGGAAATGTTCAATGGAGATTCGTTGGTATCAGTTTGGGATTGCAGTGTCCTGGCTGAAACTTCAATTACAGTAAAATAAAACAACAACACTGGGCACATTCAGATGAAATTAGGGAGTATATTCGTAAATTTTTGAGGTTGAACAATGCACAGTGATTTTGCAATGTGTTTGAGAGAGATGTGAGCGAGGACTGATGTGTCCTTTCAGTCGGGTGGCTGTCTTTCATTTGGCTGAAAGCGGAGGACACTTTGAGCAAATCGGCGACTTACCCGTTTGGATGCTGAGGGCACTTCGGATTCCATGCTGTTTTTCCCATTCAGGACAATGAGGTTTCTGACAATCTCTGCATTTGTTTTAAGCGGGAAGTCCATTCCGCAAAGGTTAATAAAATATCTCCAGCGGACTGGGTTTTGGAGCAGCTCTTCCATACAGTTCAGGTCAGCTTGTACCCGCGACCAAGACGCGTAGATCACATTCTCCAACTTGCTGGCAACGAAAACATTGGAGAAACAAGAGGCAATAGCTCTCACAGCGAGATGAAAACTGTCTGCAGCTTTCCGATCCACGTGGATACAGTACACATTTTGCGGAGTATAAATGCTCCGCAGCAATCTTTCAAACATTTCTATGTTCTGATGAATTACAATGGAGTAGGCGATGGGAAAATTCCTCTCTTCCTTGCTCAGTGCGAAGTTTAGGTACTTGCGCTCCTTTTTAAATGCAGCACAGTCCCGTGTCATATTCCAATAATGTTTTTCAGTCAAAGGCGTTTTACCACGTGTAACATCAATAGCATTTAAAAGAGCTTTTTCAACTGCAGTCTGATCTCCTCCAATAATTCGCGAACAAATCGGCTGTCGAGCAGACAGATTTAGAGTTTTGTAAAAATTATCCAAGCACCGTCTATTACCCACATCGATGGAATTTTCCCAAATTCCCCGCATCACATCATCCTCACAGGATTGAAAATTCCCAGTAAGTAGAAATAGAAGTCCCACCAGTGCAGTCCCAGTGGTCAAAATCC